CTAACAGTCTAACAGAGGCTAACAGTCTCATAGAAGGCTTATGATTACTTTGAGGAAGTTTCCACAAGAACATTCAGTAACCGTGAAGCATGCATATCAAGCATTCTTGTTATATCTCCCAACTCAAATACGTTCTCCGATTGAAGGAGAACGTGTTACGTGTCGTGGGTCAAAACTCACTAACTCCCTAGGGCGAACAAAATTCACTAACTCCCTAGGGATACAACAACTTGAACTTTCGACTCGCACGTGATCAGGTCGTGCTCCTTCAAACCGTGGCAAATTTGTGATCCAGCCAGCGTCAAGCAAACGATTTCTTTCCGAGACCCTCACTCAGGAGTATTGAGGTCGAGGGGAAACAAAACTCACTGTTTCCCGCGGGATCAGTCATTAAGTGCTTAGTGATTCATGGCAAATAAATAACAATTAACACGATTCAATACTTTCACTAAAAACTTTCAAGAAGTTTAAAGTGGAAAGCTAGGGAGGGATCTCTGTCTTGAAAATGGACTTTGACCTTGACGTTTGCGCCAAGCGAGCGAAGATTCTCCACAAACTTCTTCTGCTCTTTCCCAATCCACGGCCGCGTCGCATCCTTGATTTGGTAAGGAGTCACGTGCACGCGAATCCTTGGCACGTGCTTGGCCAGATGATCAAGGAATTTTTCATCTGTTATCCACGTGTTTGACTCGCCGCTATGGCCTCCGTCCAACCAGTACATGGCACTTATGCGTGACGCAAAGTCATTAAGACAAGGATCTACTCCCGCTGAAACCGTGGATAGTTCGTAAATGATTTGATTGAGTACAACACATCCTTTACTGAAACCCACAAGAATCACTTGGAAATCAAACGTGGGGTCCTCCTCTCCCTCTGGAATGTCCAAGACTGCATGGGTTGAGAAATGCAAAAAATAGAAACTGTAAAATCCGAGAAAATTGACCATTCCTGTCTTTCCTCTCTAGGCATTTTATGTACCATAAAATCCTTGTTATAAGGTTTTTCTTTTACAAAAACTTTGGACATCCTTAGCCTCGTACGTATGTTTCCATACAAAGGATTTTTCACATGAATGTGAGGTTTAGGATGTATAAGTATTGTTATTCAAATATAGGCGTCATATTTATGCAAAGGGTCTATACATGTCCCAGCATACTGAAACAAACTGCTGCGGTCCCGCCAACTCTGGTGGCAGAGGTACGAGTAAACAGAGAATTGCTAAAGGTAAATATCTCAAAATTTAAAACACAAAATTTTGGTGATCGAGGCAAGTGTGACTTTGACTGATTCAAATCAGTTCGTAACGGACAGCTATACATGTCTCAAGAAACTACCCCATAATCCCCCTAACGTGGACCCAGTACTATGGTCCCTGCCAGAAAAAGAGCCATTTCTGCCTGGGCCGGGTTGTCCAGGAATATGATGAATATTGATATCAGTTTTGTAACTTTTCGTTCAGGTTTTCCGTTTATATTGATTGTCCTTCAGTTTTGAATTTAAATAATCTCAAACTACACAAAACATAGGCAGTGACAAATGTTTTGTACGAGAAAAATTAATACTTCGGTTATCTTTTAATCCTGGGTTGGCGTTAACCGGCTTTCGACCAGCTGTTTCGCGATGCTGCCTCACTCACCTTGTTTGACCGCAGACTCCAGCAAGGCTCTTAAGTGATACAAGGCGCCATAATCGTGATTCCTGTGATCCGGAACACCAAACATGTCGGCTTCCACAAAGTTTTGATAACAAGCAAATGTGTTCAGATGATATCTTGACGGACGAACAACCCAAATGAAGCTATTGGGAAATCTTTTCTCTAAAATCTTGGCTGTGGATTCTAAATTCCACTGCTTCCATTTCTTATTATGCGCATGTGTTTCCATGTTTTCCACGCAATCCTGTAAATAAATCAAACCATACATGAATACGAACACTGCATGGTAGCCAAGGCCAGCCAGTCGCATTCTTTCTCATGTCCTACCCTGATGGGGATTAAAGGACAATTTAGTTATCCACCTGGGGAGGGTATGGGATTGTACCATTTCTTTTTGCCCATCAGAAGCGTCGTTTTGCGTCATATCTCCCATATAATATTAACCCATCGTTTAAAATTATCCGAAAGTTGGCGGTCTGTAACAATATCTGAGCTGCGTCATACGTGCCAGTAGAGCAAAGGAACAACAGTGCTCTGCACGTCCGCCGTAAAAGGGTCTGGGGATTTTGGAACGACATCAAGCCAACCGTACTGTTTAATAAGTAAATGATAACTTTTTAAATCCAAACCCTCTATTTTGGAAAGCGATCGATCGATAAAATAATTCAACAACTGTTAACAAGTAGTTCAACAATTGTTTCGTGCAAGTTTATTAATTTAATTCTGGGTGGATGTAGACTTACATGTAAACACCAAAATTGAGAATACTTCTGTTCATCCCGACATGACGAAAGTCTTGGGTTTAGCGTCCTGAAAGCTTATAACCAAAACGAAAAAACTATTCTAAAAGCGAGCAATGTTTCTCAAATACGTCCATCTGAAAAAAGTATTTACTTTCGACACAACATGTCTGGAATGGCTGCAGGATAATCCGCTGGAGTGTTGTCAAATCACGTTACCTTTTGCGAGTTTGTCCAACAAAACAATGAGAAAATGAAACGTAACCCAAGGTGTTTTGCGGTTTTGCGTTATGTATGTATGTAAAGACGAATGCGATGATTGAAAATTCTACTCAGGAAAGAATAAATGTTAAACCCATCGCTAGATGAAAACAAGCACCAAGAGCATTTATAATAGTTGACTAATTCCATATCGTGTAGTTCGCTGGTGGTAAGCGACGATAGTCGATTTCTTCGCAAACCCAAGCGCAAACTGAGCGTTCTTTGTTTCTTTGTTTGTTCATCTTTTCACGATATTACACGATAAAAAGATTTCCAATTAACGCGTCCAGAACGAGTTAAAAAAGTCAATAAACCACACAAAGACCGGCCGATTCGTTTCCTCTGTTTTGCGGGTTTTCAGGAAATGTTTAGAATTACAGTTGTCAAACTCCGCTATTTCGAACACTTAGGGAAACGAAAAATCGTTCGAAATAGCCGATAGTAAATGACTGAAGGGTAAATCCAAGGGAAGGCATTCGAATAACCGAGATCGAATTACCGGGATCCAGCTGTAGTTGGTTAAAAGAGATATCGTAATTTTGTAATGCTACGATGCTCTTTGAACCCTGCAGCACCAACCCTCACTCGTATTTTCCACGTGCGCAGCGTTAAGCAAAACACTTGGGACAGCAAACTTCCACATTTTGCTTCGAACACTTCTATAGCTAAACGGAAAAAATCACTTTAATAGGAAATTACTAATCCGCCATTTTATAAGAGAGAAGGAAATTAAGTTTTACAAACAAAGCACTCTCCATACTCGGCAATAACTTTCACTTTAGATGATTTATTCAAATTATTCAAGTCTCTAGTCATAATACGAAAATGAAGTTTTACGAAGCTTTCTCCGTAGAAATACTGTGTATACCACATATTCGCGAGTCAAGCATGTTGGGAATTAAGTTTACTTGCAAGCAAGCAGCAAGAACTTCAACAATACACAGCAAGCTCCCTGGAGAGCTTACATGCAGTACACATCACAAAACAAAGAACCATGTTTAGAGGGTAAAGAATATATGCTAATAGACGTCTCGCCAATGAGTAAAATTTTACAAGTTGAAAATAGTACATCGTTTTGAACCAATACTTTGTTTTGATTCCAATAAAATAATTTGCGCACTTGTTAGAATACGCTGTTTCAGCAAATATTGGATGATGAAATAACCAGTCGGCATATCGCCTCTCATTTCAAAGCTTTTAACTTCAATGACTTGTTAAACAAAACAGTTTAGCGAGTACATTTATGATACTCATGCGTTAGAGCTCAGACAATATGAGTCTCAAGCTTTTCACTAAAAAGATTTTTTTTGTGTGTACTGCATTAAGTAGTTTGGTTAGGGAACGGAGTGATCGTAGATGGCCAGTGATATTCAAAACACATTTTGAGACAAAGTCATTTACCGTGAAATACAGACGCAAACTACAGCAAAATCGAAATGGAAAGTCAGTTAGCGCACACTACTGCTGAAGAACTTGATAACCAGTTCGTTCAATTTCTTCAGCGCTCTAATCTGCTCAACAAGGATCGTTTACAATCACACAATTCTTTTTTCTTACCTGTACATCACCAGGGAAAAATACAACGTGTTGCTGAGCTTCAGAGCCGCAGAACACCACATCATTCTTTCTTCCATCGTGTCCATGCGCCAGCATACGCCGAACTAAAGGAAAAGTTGAAGATTTATCCATAAAAAACGGCAAAACTAAGCCTTGAAATTAAAATTACGTAGAAAAACTGATCTTCACGAGTAATCAAAATAAACAAAGCGTCGCGTATAGCAATATTAACGAAACCATTACCATAGACAATGTTTACGTAATAATCCTCATTCCTTTGTTATACCCCGTTAAATTAATCCCCTCTTTGACATCTGAGTGGTGCCATACTGGCGGAAAATTCACACTAAACCAATCCAAGGAAATTAACTTCGCCTTCAAAGTTAAACACGCTTAAACAATTTATGCACGCCAAGAAAAACATAATCTAGTCATTAATTCGTTTTAATTGAAGCATTTTCAGCCGGAAACCAGACGGAAAATTCACATAAAGAAAATCGAAGTGCCGTTAATTAAACAAAATACTGCAACGTGATTTGTATGGATCAAACCACGTGGAATAAAAAGAGTAAAGCGAGAAACAACATAACAAAGGACACCATCATTAGCCAAGCCATTCAAAAGGACGATCTATTGTTTGGTAAATACTTGACCTTTTTTCCATTTTGTACATCATGTAAATCTGTTTGTTTTTGACCTCATAAAATCGCCTTATTAACAAAACTCCATAGTTTATAAAGCTAGCCAATATATATTGAAAGATATCTGTTCAACGTCCATTTCACAATTTAGTCTCAATTAACATCAGCCGCTCGTTTTCAAGTTGTCTTTTGCCCAACAACCTGGGTTTTATTCCATTGCCGTTTTGTCAAATGAAAGATTTAAGTATTTTTTTTCGAGCAAACATCTAGGCATAATGAATGTCGAAAAAGGACTATTTTCAATTCATTTAGTCAGCGCTTAGAACGGTGAAAAAGGATGGAAAACGTAGATTTTAAACGCTTGACACCGCGATTTCATGTTTCTGGCGAAAAAAGATCTACTACTTGACCTATCATGTAGGATGCAAGTCTGAAAAATAAGAATGATCCACCGCCATCTTCAAGTTAGTACGAAAACAAACAAACAGCTCAGACAGGCAAGAAGTAGCCATATGCTCAACATTAAAAAATGTTCGCCTTTGCTGTATATATTAGCAAATTTTTCCTCGGAAAAAAACCCCGCTTCCCTAAGTAGTCGATAAAGAACTAGCCTCTTCCAGGCGTTCAGTTCGTTGAACTAACTGAACGCCTGGAAGTGGCTAATAAAGAGCGGGAGGCTTTCTACTTTCAAACGGGCAAATTAAATATGACTATGGTTATACTTGCCAGCGGAAGGTCCGTATCGAGAAGGACTTTGTGCAAGGTCCGACCCGAGGCCGGGGACCGTTACAAGGGAGGGTAAAGCTTTTCTTGATACGTGCCGACCAAATCCGCAAATGTTTTCAATAGTTTTCTTTTAATAAAACTGCCAAAATTAACAGAGAAAGATCTTGAAGTCGAGAAAATAAGCACAGTTAAAAAGCCATTGAAATTCCCGCGCATACCCTAAATCTTAATCTAAATATTTGCTGTGCGAGAAACTCCGTAAGCAGGATATACGTGCACAAGGACAGGGTCATTGATCGTACATCCAGTGATGACTCTAACCGTACATGTAGCAGTAGTACTCAAGAGCGAGGACAAAAGTTTCTCTTAACACGGGTAAGTCTTGTTTGATAAAACTTCCAAATCCAACAGCGAAACCGATTCCAGAAATGTCAAATGTAAGCAAAAAACGGAGGGCGGCTATCAGATTGCCCCGTCCTGCACTGAACAACCTCCCCCGGAATTTGAGCCCGATGTATTAAATACTTTTTGTGCAACGCGGGTTTAAAAACTCAAAATTTTACAAAGAATTTATGAGCTCATTAGTTTCTTGCTACCCAGAAATTTTGCAATTTTTAAAAGCCTATTTCTCCGCAATATTACACCCAAAGACCGACAAAAAAACCAAAAAGTTCACCCATTACTAAGTTTCACAAGCTCTTTAAATGTTTGTAGTCAATTCGTGTCTAGCGTGATGCGTTCTCTGCCCAAAGTCGTATGTTAATGAGCAAAAAATGTAAAAAATGACATCAGCAAAGATTCGCCTATAGGAGACGCTTAATGCTCTTTATCAGGAAG